ATCTCCTCTGGGAGGACACAGTAACAAGGTGTCCTGGGGCTATGTGGTGGATATGTGAAGGCATAGCATATGCTAGAACATAATGGATATGTTAATAGATAAGGCTTTGAGGCACTGACCTCAACGGAATGTTAATCTGATCAACAGCAGTTTTACTTCTCAATAAAAACCAAGCGTAGACCGGATTCGGTGGCTCAGTCTGACTCTCTGAAGGCTGAGTCCCTTGGTCTCGCACTTAAATATTACTTCTGTCTCTGTCTCTCTTTATTCAATCTGTGCCGCCCCTCTCGTGTCCCATTTGCCCTTGCCACGCTGGACGTGACAGCCCCCCTATTCCACTCCAGCCACAACGCTGTTCCTGGAACATGCCAGGCACGCTCCCGCCTCAGGGCCTTTACACCACCTGTCGTCTTTGCATGTCAACGGTCTCCTACTAGATCATATTGCAAACCTGCATAAGCCACTTCAGTTAACAAGCATCACGGGCATAATACTAAGACACCTTATTCTGCAAATCACATCAGCATCAATGACAGCACTGAAAACTCTGCTGTCTTAAATAATATCAGGGACTGCAAGAGCAGAAAGTGGTAAGACCTATAAAGATCAGAACACTGAAGAGCCCACTAGAATCTCTATTTCTATTTCAGCCGATCTGAGTCATCTTCTCTTTAAGTGCTGTGTGTAAGATCTGCTCAAGAATTGTTTGGAGACACTGTCTACCAAAAGTAGATCTCTGTTACTCAGCAAATTGAATAAATTTAGCTTCGTGTCTCAGCTGGTTTTAACGATCCACAGTGCTAACCTTCTCCTCTCCTTCTGGAGTTTGATCACTGTCATCTTCTCAGTAAGGCGCGCCCCTGAATACCTTCTATAAAACTGCAGCTAGTCCGTTTTTAATCCCCCTACCTCTGTCACTATAAATCCTCGTCTTACTCAATTTTTTCATTTTTCTATACATTTTTCATCTTATAATATACTAAATAATGTAGGTATCATGTGTATTGTTTGTTTCCTTCCATTCAAATATAAGCTTCATAAGGGCAGGGGTTTTTGTCAATTTAGTTCACGGATAGAGCTTTCTCAGGAACTTTACATAGTACCAGGCACATAGTAGGAGCTAAATATTTGTTAAATGGACATTTGATACTGGGTCAGCCTGGTTGTTTTGGGGGGATATAATCAAATTAGCAGAAGCCTATAAACAGCCAGGTTAAAATAAATCAAATATACTAAACTTGAAGGAAAATGACCAAATATTTCACACATACTAAATTTAATTCCCTTTAAAGTCAAGGCTCTTTGAAAAGTGACTAAAATATTTAAATATAACCACATTAAAAGCAATGAATAAAAGAAAAAGAAGCATCATTATATCATTTACCATCTATGGCCTGTGAAAGTTGAGTCTCATCATTTAAGAAGTCAATTAACGAGGTATCTTTTTCATTTTCTGACTCCTCACTTTCGTCTGATGAAACACATTCAGCATCTTCTTGGGAAAGTTCTGCTTCATCATGTAAAAACTTCCTAGCTAAAAGCTAAGACAAATTAAAAAACAAGAAGATACTGTTAAGAAAATCATTTACTTAAGTAATTGGAAGTAGTTCTGGAAAACGGATTTCCTGCCAATGCTTTTAAGACCAAAAAATAAAAGTAGAAAACTGCAAAAAGAACTAATAAAGTGGCATACCTATTTAAATTTTTTCTCATAATTCTTATAAGTAAGATGAAGTACAAGTCAGCTCGTTAGCTTGTGGTTCAGCTTGTGAAATGTTTCTTATTCTTTCTTTTTTATTTTTTTAATAAGCATAAAGTCACCTGAGTCTTCCGGCTATTTTAATTTTGCCAGAAAAATACTGCACCACAGAAGGACTGATCAAAACTAGGTATGAGAATTTTTTTCCAGGGATGTGAATATTGGATAGAGATAAGAAAGATAATACAATGACTGTAAAAGCAAACATTCTAAAACTCAAATTTCTGTCTCTCTGTATTCTTCAATTTGAATCTTAAATTCACAATACACCAATGTGTCTTTATTCAAAATAACAACACTGCAAGATAGTTTCAAAACACAAAAAGAAAGAAAAATACCACATCTTGCGATTTTAATTCCAGTAAAAAAAGCAAAATTAGGGTAAAAATATTTTTTAATTTTGGGATTTTTTTTTCTATAAAGAAATTATAGAGAGAAATCTACTTCTATGTAAAATCTAATGTTCTTTACTAATTAAATGCATATATAGGATATATACAATATATAGAGAAATAAAAAACTAAAAAAAGTTTACCTTTTGGTGACTCTGTCTCTTTTGGATTTTGATGCCTCTTTTGGAATTCCTGTTATGACCTTTGACATCTTCTAATTGTGGATGTTGTTTGTGAAAATTCTCACTCTCATCACTAGATGATAATGCTAACTATAATAATTAGAATATTGCATAAGAATATATAATTGGATTATTGTATCTTAATGTATTTCTCAAGGGTTGTTGATTTTATTTTCATTTTTTTAAAAGTATTTTCTTAGGGCTGGCCGAGTGGCTCAGTTGGTTATGAGCTTGCTCAAGAGTGCGAGCTCTGAGCAACAGGGTCACTGGTTCGGTTCACAGCCCAAGCTGAGCTGCCGCTGAGATGGCTCAGCTTAAAAAAAAAACACACAAAAAAAACGTATTTTCTTGTTAGAAAAATAAAATGCTCTCAACTCAGAGACATGTTGTAAATACATAATAATTGAAAAGTTAGTAATAATAGGTACTAATATACTAAATTAGGTAATAGAAGTAATACTAGTATAGTATTCATTCAATTTAGTATTACATTAAATGTATTTAATGAAAATTTGTATTTTTAATTTAACTGATTCTGAAAGGCTTCACAAAATATAATTAAGTCTGTAAATAAAGGTATCAAAATCAGTCCAAACATACATGAGTCCTTTCAAACCAAGAAACCAATATAACAATAACAAATTTGGACTAGGAGGCCTATCATTATATCTTTTATAGAATATAAAACCAAACAAAAGAATCAAAGGAAGTTTATCAAAATAATTTCAATTAATAGAAATAATTTTAAAGTGGACTGATCATTAGCATTATCAATATTTTAATTCACTTCTGATAAATTAATCAGACATTCTAGTTAAGGTAGCAAGTTGAAGTAATTTTTCTAATTTTACATGAGTATACAAAGTTAATATGGACTGACTGCATTTTTAATTAATAGAATTTGCTATCTACTTTTCTGCTAACTATATACCTGTAAGATCAAATGCACCTACATTCACTATACACATATTTTTCTTATAATATTTATTCCAAAAGAGTTTGAATTACTATACATTATCTGTGTATGTACTTACTTTCTTTGGAGGACCCCTGCGGTTTCTTACGGCATGGAGCGGAGAATCAACTTCACTATTTTTCTGATCCTAGATAAAGTAGATAAAGTAAAAGGTTAAAAAAATAGACATAAGGACAAATAAAAAGCCTTTATTGTAATTACTGAATGACTCACCTCGGGGGATTCTAAAACATTTCCTTTTGTTTTTTTACTTTTTCTTCGGAAAATCTCATCTTCACTTTCATTGCTTGTTAATTGTTCATCTAAATTTATTTAAAAATAATAAACATGGTCAATAGGTTTAAGTTTATCCAACCACAACTATTTTATTGATGAGTACAGTAAGGATTGTTTGTCAATCTCAATGTTTACTTACTCTCAAAAATGATAGTTTTTTAGAAGTTAGGCAAAAAAAATCAGCATGGGAAGAGACAGAAAAATAAAACAGTGCCAGTGAGAAAATTAAGAGATGATTACTTTCGCTAACACATACTTGACTCAGGTTCAATTTTACAAGTTAACTGAAAGGAGGCCAGGAGAGTATAAAATGTAATTTTATTAGTGGTTCTAGAATTCATCTGTAAAATCTATAGTCTTTCTGTGCTTTGTGTCTTATTCTCTTTCTAGTTGGAGTTAAAGAGTGATAATTCAGGCTACAAACCAATATATGGATTATTTGTGTGTGTGTGTGTGTGTGTGTGTGTGTGTGTGCGCGCGCGCACGCGTGCACAAACATGAAATAAATATTAGTAAAATATTCACCAAAATGTTGTAACTGGAATAGATGTGGCGAGTGGAAAGAATGCTAAAAAAAAAACTCTCATGGATGAAATCAAATGTTTCAAATATTCAGATATTTAAACAAAGCTCTATTTCTGCACTTCCGTAAAATTTTTATTGAAGATAATGCTTTATGTCAGCGGTTCTCAACCTTTCACAGGGGTCGCCTAAGACCATAGGAAAACACATATTTTCGATGGTCTTAGGAACCGAGACACCGCTCCTCTATCCATCTCCAGGCCCACATGCAGATACACCCACATACAAGTACCCGGCGACCCCTGTGAAAGGGTCGTTCGACCCCCAAAGGGGTCGCAACCCCCAGGTTGAGAACCGCTGTTTTATGTCTTTATGAAACTTTCTGTAAGAATCCTGTGGTTGTTTTAAGATACTCATATGTTCATAAACTCTTTGACACACCTCCCTTTCAAAAGGTGAATCAGAGGCCGGCCAAGTGGCGCATTGGTTAAGAGCTGGCTTGGGACGCCAGAGGGCCCCGGTTCGGATCCCACATATGAGGGCCCAGTGACACTGCCCTCCACAGCTAAGATGCTGAACAACAGCTCAACCTGGAGCTGGGCTGCTGTGAGTCGCCGGCGATGGCGTAGTCTGCAGCCCCTGTGGCAGTGGGTTGCCATGGGCTACCGTGTGTAGCCAGCGGCCAGAGTGAGCGGCCAGCAGCCGCAGTGAGCGGCCGTCCAGAAGCCTGCGACTGATCTGCCTCACCCGGGGAAGAGCACAATGATGGTGCCAACTTGGGCCAGTAAAGCAACGTCCTCCACTAGACTGAAGAACGAAAGGACAGCAACTTGTCTATTCCCCTTCCCCCAATTCCCCAGCGCTGCTCCCATCCCCTAATTCCCCAATAAAAATCTTTTAAAAAAACAAAAGGTGAATCAGAATTCCTCTCCCCTTAAGTGTGGGGTAGACTTAATCACTTGCTTCTAAGAAAAGAACATAATGGAAGTGAAGGTGCATTACTTCAGAGTCCAGATTATAAAAGTCATTTTGGCCTCATCCTGGCTCTCTCTCGTCTCACTCACTCACTCTGGAGGAATCGAGATGCTGTATTGTAAGGATATAAGAAGCAGCCCTGTGGAGAGGCCCATGTGGCAAGAAACTGAGGCCTCCTACCAATAGCAACGTGATCCAAAACCACTCAGCTAAGCCACTCTCGAATTCCTGGTCCACAGAAACTGTGAAATAATACATGTTTGTCATTTTAAGCCATTATTTTGGGGAGTAATTTGTTAATACAGCAATAGATAAATAATACAGATTTTGGTACCTGGAAATAGGGGATTGCCATACCAAAAACCTACACTGTGGAAGGAGCTTTAGAACTAGATTGGGGACAGTAAATAAAAGGATGTTTGAGGAGAGTTTTAGTGAAAGCTTAAAGAGACTTAAAGGAATTGTTTGGGGGAACAATTTCTAGGAAGATTAAAGGCCATTAAGGAGGCTATGGGTGAGAGGTTAAAGAAAATCTTATTAGAAATCGGAGGAAAGTGAATCCTTTATGTACTGCCAGAAAGTTCAGCAACATTGCAGAAACATGGAAAGGAGAAAATGTACCAAATGAATGAAATAACTAGCTAAGGGGGTTTCTAGACAAAATGTTTAAGGTATCACCTGTGCTTCTTGCTGTTAATGTAAATTGCAAGAGGAGATAAACTAAATAAATAAAGGGCTATTAAACATGAAACAGTCGAGTCTTGCTGGCAGCTTCTCCAGCTGGCAAACAATGTGAAATTAAGAAATCTTCCAGGCAAAGAGCTAATCTAGAGGACTGCCAGGGAAATACTGTCCAGATGAAGCTGAGGGTGTAACTGTAAATGCTTTAAGACCTCAGAAAGATTAAAGATGGCGCCTCAAAGTACCAATCAGTCAGATAAAGGCCCTCTAAATATTTTAAGGATATCTCTCACAGATCCTCTCAAATAACAGGCCTTCTAAGAAGATTAAAAAACTCTCTCTAGACATCTCAGCAGAAGCCCAGGGTAGTGAAGGAGTTACCTCTAAAAGATTTGTGGGCATGCCTAGTGTCTAATGGAATAAACTCCAATTAGATTCACAAGATTCATGAGAATTATATGGGAAGAAACACAGCCAGCTACAACTGAAAGGGGCAGACAGGACAAAATGAAAAGAGGCCTTTGGATTCTCAAATTTCTACTAAGAGGAAGCAGGCAGAGAAAGCTCCACAGGTACTACCAGTTATGAAAAAGGATCAAGCATCCAGAGGACAAAGCCAAAAACCATGGAGAATTATTCACAGGCTTCGAGTCTTAATCAAAGGACTTCCAATCTCGGTTCTGCTGGATTTTAGAATTGCTGTGGACCAGAGATTTCTGTGTGCCTCCCATCACTCCCGCCCCATTCTGAACAAGCCATCTTGAAAGCATATTCTTCATGCCCAGTCAACTCTTCAGATGACTGCAATCCCAGCTGAAATCTTGATTGTAACCTCATGAAAAGTCCTAAACTAGAACCACCCAGTTAAACAACTCTTAAATTCCTAAACTACAGAAACTGTGAGATTCATTTGTTATTCAAGGTGTTAAGTTTTGAGGAATAATTTGTTACATAGCAATAAATAACTAGTACAAATTCATACAGTACATTCCTCCTCACACTCTGTGCCAATAAAACGTCTTGAATAAATCCTTTTTACAGATGACCACTGTATAACCCAACCAGTTTTTCTTTTTTCATTACCTTCTAAGGAAGTTAGAATTAAATGCAGGGCTCAGCTATAGTAACCACCTAATTCCAGGAGGCTTTCCTTTTAACTGCTTTAGTGGTGTTTTAATGAACTATTTTTGTATACATATAACACAGCAAATGATCTTAAATCCTCTTTTTCAATTAGGAGGAATAAAAAATACTAAATAAATATTTGAATAAATAATTCATACATATAATGAATATATTGCCCATGGTTAGTAATTAAGTACAATGCTAGAAAAAAAGTTTTAATGCAAATCTCACACAAACACAAGAAAAAATTTCATCCAATAACAGACTTATAATATAAACGTGTTAGAGCAAATATTAAAGGCTAACAGGAAATAGTAAAAATACACGTCAGACTATATCCAAAACTATGCAGAATAGTCAATTTTTAAAAATTAAACATATTTCCAGAACTTACTTTAAACAAGCTTTTATCTTAAATAAAACATTCATGAATCATGCCCTCAATGCTACTGAGAATAGCATAAGAAAAAGATTTACAGAAGAAACTCATTGTATCCTACAACTACTCCTTTCCACAGCCATAAGGAGTAAAATCCATTAATGGCCTGCTATAATAATCTATACATTAATTAGAGTTGAGTTATCATTTTAATATCAAACACCTATCACTACAGTATTTTCTAGCTTTTCTGTAAATTAGATCATAGAAACGCAGCGATTCCTCAGCATATTCTGTGGTCTTGTCTCAGTCCTCCAAATAGTCTTATTTCTCAACTGTTTTGCTATATAACCCTCTACTTCAGACTAGCGCACCAAAATCTTACACTTTCCTTCTTACCCTTTGTTTCCATCATTTTATAACATCCAAATTTTCTTTATTATTTTCAACACATCCCACTCATAAATATTCCTGAGGAGCCAAAATGAATATCTACATTTAAAAAATCCGTATTTCCAATCTAATCCAGTTCAAAATTTTGACATGTTCTGAAACTCCTAAACATCCACTATCTTATTATTCCTTTAGTAGTTATGTACACATTTTACTGGTATCTTTTCAAATGTGTGTATCACACAATTGTTTGTGTTTTACAATTAAGGGCTATGGCCAAATCACAGTGTAATACCTTTCCCATGGATGCATACCATAAATATATATGTAGATAAAATCTTATATCAGTAAGCACCCATTTAAGAACTATATAATACATTATCTAATTAAATACACCACATACTGAGAAATTACATTTTGAAAAATTACAGGTTATCTAGAGTAATTATTCTAGAAAGATTAATGTTTTATAAAGATGAAATCTTACCTTCAGCAGAATGACAGGATTGACATAGACTGATTTGTTTCCTGCTTTTCTCCTTTTCTATACAAAGTCCCGAATCATCAAAAGTTGAATTCAATGTTTCTTTGAAACTTTGTAGATTTACTTTTCCTTTATTAGAATTTGGTGTCCTAGGCATTTCCTTTCTCTTTTTAGAAAATGAATTCAATGTGTTTGATTTAGCAAGTGGTGTACTCATAACTTTTTCTCCTACTGGCCAAGCAAACTGAGAATAACCAGGAGATATGAATTGCTTATTTTTTGCTGTACTCAATGAAAAACGTGGAGAAATTGGGCTCTGCTTATCTTTACTTGATGAGATAGTAATGGTTCTACTTGTAGAACTATCAACATGATCTCTTGGTATTACTGCTTGATTTGAAACATAATTTCCAACATTTATCTCCTTACTACCCAAACACCTTCCAGATAGATCTAACAATTTATTCTTATTTGTATCTGATGCATGTTCTAATACTTCATCCTCAGAATCTGGACTACAAAATCCTAAATCAAAGTTAACAGAAAATAAATCCTTAGAGTAGTCAAAAACATACTCATCATTCTTCAGTTTTTCCTTACATACACCTGTCAAATCTTCATGAGATTTCCAACTATTAGTATCACAGATAATTTGATCTTGGGGTTCAGAATTATTGTCGAACAAAAGTTCATCAGAAATTAAGAACTGAGGGACCAGTGTCATTTCGCTTGTACGAGTTTTGTCTGACACATGTAAAGATTTGCTTTTACTGTTTGAGGGAGAAAGGCTTACATCATTAAACTCTGTGTTAATATCTTCAAATAGTAGTAAACTCTCATCCTGATCAGTGAGCAATATTGGGAGGCCATTGTTATCAACACCACAAATGTTTTCTTCAACAAAACACTTAGGAGGGCCTATGTTTATTTGAGTATGATTTCTGGATACGAAATTTTCATTTTTAGTATCTCTCCGTACTTTATCATCATAGTCACAGAAGCTTGGCTCATCAGAAATCTTATCATTAGTTGCACTATAAAGGCTATTTTTTTCAGGAGGATGATTAATAAATTTAAGTGAGTTCAATTCTAAAATCTGTTGAGAATTTATAGCTGAATGTGACATTAAACAAGTAGATTTATCATTTTGCAACTCTCTGTAGGGCAGGTAAAGCAAATTTTCAAGTGCAGAACCCTTAGTAATTTCATATTCCAAATCTGAGAGTCCACTGAGAGGTGGAGGAGAATGAGATAAAAATCTCTCTACATTAGCAAGTACCTCTTTTGTTAAGGAATAACAATTATAAAACTGGTCATCTGTTCTAGCTATACAAAGCTCTTCCTCAAATGGAAGAAATAAGCTAGATAAAACAGATTTCTCATCACTGAAACTGTTATAACCAGAATCTGAAAAATTTCCAGCGAATGAACTAGCAGATTTATTTGTAAACTGACATTCTGTTAATAATCCATGTGGCTGGTTAGCATTTTCACTGATAGCACATGCGGCAGCAACTTCATCTGTACCTAATGTCCTTTTATCATTCAGGTCTGCCTGAAGAATATTTTCAACAACTGAACTGCCACCAGTATCTACAGAATCCATAACAACATCATTATTTTCTTTTTCAGGTTGATCTTTTTTCAGTCCTTTAGGAGCTTTTTTCTTTAGAGAAACAATTTTAGTAGGTTTTATATGAGGTTGTCGAAATATTTCAGCACATTCATCATCAGGTTCTGTCACTGAGAATGAACTGGCTTGATTTGTATTCTTTGTAAATGAAGATTTCTTGTTACTAGTAACGGTGCCATTGGCAAGATTGTATTGGTTCCTGGGAGCAGTAACATCTTCCATTTTTAAATAAGGTTTAACTTCCAATTCATAGCTGCATTCTCCCTATAAAGAAGGAAAATGAAAAAGTTACAGAAAAATAAAACAAAACAAAAAAAGCCAATTCTAACAGATGAGTTTTACTCTATGCTAAAATATTTTCTAAACAATATTACATTATTCAAAAGATTTTCTTTTACACCTTAAAAATTATTCTGATAAATCAAACAAATCATAAATGATACTACTGTGAAATTATAATAAATTTCTTTAATTAGTTAATATTTTTGCATCCCCAGTGCTTAATATATGGGAGACCCATAGCTACTTGTAGAAAGAACAAATTTAATGACTACAGAAAATAAAATTATAAACACTAAGTTTTTTTACTTCTAACATTTAAACAATCATTCTAATTTCCTAAAAACAAATATTTAATTTATATATATATATACATATATATATATAAATGAAAAGCATACATACATACATTAAATTTACTCTCTTGATGAAGTTAAACTAAGAACAACTTTTAAAACATCTGAAATAATGGTACCTGTATATCTACTAGGCTGTAGGCTAGAATATACTATTTTTAACAGATTTCCCAACCAAGAACTCTTACAGTGGATTTCTAAGTCTTACTTATCTCTAAATCTAGAACTACTGTCCCCATCACTGCTAGCTCATCCTTCCCTCCTCCCCATGAACGCTACTTTAGTCATGATCCCTCAACTATTCAGGGACTTAAGCAGTTAACTTTCCACTTTTTGAATAAGAAATATTAATGTGAGAATGTCTCTCTCCCTGGTAGTATATATGCTCCCCATAAACAGAATATTTTATCTGGCTTCTTCACTGAAGAAGCCGTAGGGCCTGGAACAGAGAATGACATATAGAGGACACCAAATAAATGTGTTAATTTGATGGCACAAGTTTTGCTGGGATTCACAACTAATTCCTTTATCTATATGCATTCATGAACAAGAACTAGTAATAAAAATAGCAGCTACAATCTACTGAGTACTTTCTATGTGCCAGTTACTATTCTAAGTGCATTACACGTATTAAGTCATTTAATCCTCACAACAACCCTATGAAGAAGGTATTATCATTATCCCCATTTTACAGATGAAACTGAGGCACAAAGAGATGAAGTAATTTACAGATGCACAAGAGTGTTGGAATCTAACTTAGGCATTTTAATTTCACTCTTATAATAGGTTCATCATTCTGACTCTCTCAAGGAAGAATAATCAAGAAACTGCTCAAGGGCCAGCCGAGTGGCTCAGTTGGTTAAGAGCTCACTCAGGAGTGCGAGCTCTGAGCAACAGGGTCGCCGGTTTGATTCCCGGCCCAAGCTGAGCTGCCACTGAGCTGCCACCAGGGGGTGGTGGCTCAGCTTAAAAAAAAAAAAAGGAAATAAAAAAGAAAACTACTCAAGGAATCAATAATTCTCTAACCTACCACCAGGATATAAGAGACATACCAAATGACCTATGTGAGGGAAACTATTTCAATAAATCCCATCTAACACAAATCCTAAATAAGCTTCACAAACAGTTTATATAAGTCATTAAGTATATCAAAATTTAACTCTGGTCTATCAATATTTATAGATGATGTTCTTCTAATTAAGTCTACTTCTAAGGCAGAAACTGTATCCTTATTGAGATCAGAAGGAGCTATACAGAAAAACAAAATATCTACCTGTAATTATTTATAATAAATATTTGTTTATTATAATGACTTCATATTATGCAGAATAGTGTTCTAGTTTCAACCAGCAAGAGAAAGTTACAATGAAACCCAACCTCTTCATGTCTTATTTCTTCTATCATCTGCATAATGCTTATAAAATGGTGGCATCGATCTGAATGGTCAACTTGATACGTAGGAAAAGGACGATCCTGCCATACTCGCCACTCAGAGAGAGAGAGCTGATGAATTCCAATGGTTGGTTCTTGAGTCTTGATGAATGATTTAAAAAATAATAAAAATGATAAAAACACACATACTCAAATTTCACAAACTGATTTAAAAAAACACTTAATACATAGGTAATCAGCTTAACATAAATTTGAATTCATTTAGATACTTTCAACTAAATTCTCAGGAGAAAAAAGAAAATAATTTCATAAAGTACAAAGTTGCCCTTTAAATAATTTTTCAATAAATGTAATTTAATGCTTAAATGAGTTACTACTTGACTATATTCCTGTTTATATAGTTCCATGTTACGAGCAAATATTTAAGAAAATGTGTGGTTTCAAAACTATTTTGCTAGCTTTATATCCTATAATCTAATAACGAGGCATTCATAATCTCTCAGTGATACTAATCCCAATTCTTCATGCCTGCTACCATGCCTCACTTTCCCTGTTAGTGAATAAAATACAAATTCTGAATAGCCATATATTTCAGGTACTATAAACCTCTAAAAGGAACCTTTCCTGAAGTTATTTTTCCAGCTTTGTAGGCAGATAAGTCACCTTTAACAAATTCTCTTTACTTTTATTAAGTTTATCAATAATTTGTTCATAAAACAAAATAAATAATATCCAAATTAAAGTTTTACTATATTTCAAAACGAAAAATACAAAGATGCTCATGAGAGCATAATTTTATGTTAGTTAATATATTAAAAAGAATTCCAAAACACAACAGGGAAGCAGTCAAACTATGGTATACTGCAGAGTAATATATCATGTAAATTAGACTACATATAAATGTTCATATGGTAGAAAGTAATGAAGAAAAAGCAGAATTTATGTAAATATATTAGCCATGTAAAGATATATATACAATAAGGAATATAAGAAAAGCAGAAATTTTACAAACTTAGAGTTTAATATTCTGAAAACATGTTCGACTTACTGGTCTGTTTTCCTCCTTTTGTAAAGATAGAAACTGAACTTGAGGCAATGTTATTTCCTTAATTTCATCACTGTCTCTTAATCTATAAAGTCTATTCCATAATTTGAATGCTTCTTCTGATAAGAACAAATCCTTTTTTGAATTACTTTGCCTCATTCCTATAAGTGGAACAGTAATTGAAAAGAGGTTAAAAAAATCTGCTGGGCAAACACAAAATATACATCAACTCTGTCTAACCACCTCTGCTAAAGCACTTCCCGCTTCTACATATCTCCTAAACTCCTCTCACCTCTTTGAACGTACTAGTGCACCCTTCTGTCTAGGAACTAACTTTTGGTAATGATTTCTTAACAAAACAGAGCCAGGTAGCTAGGCTCTCAGTCCTGGCCTCTTTTGGACTCTCTCCATTTCAATGTCTAAAACCCGGCACAAAACAGTCAGATAATTTACAAATAAAAATTAGTACCATGATTCTGTCATAACATTACTGGAAAGGCTATCTGAAGCTTGGGGAAGAAGGGAACCCCAAAACTACAAAAGATTTTTAGCTTACGTATTGAATATTGAGTCAATGTGTAACAAATATTTTGGTGCCAGGGAGCACCGTTAGTGATGAGTGTTGCTAGCTCAAGAACTGCAGAGATTTTGGTGATATCTTGGGGTGTCGGGGGGGGAGGTCTGAAGGGGCAGAAAATACCCACTGCTTTAAAAAAATGACATAATAATATACTTTTAAAAAAATTTAAACTAGGGCCAGCCAAGTGGCTTGTTGGTTAAGAGTTGGCCTGGGAGGGGCCGGCTGAGTGGCTCAGTTGGTTAAGAGCTCGCTCAAAGGTTTGAGCTCTGAGCAACAGCGGTTCGAGTCTGGCCCGAGCTGAGCTGCCGCTGAGCTGCCAACAGGTGGCAGGATGGCTCAGCTAAAAAAAATTAAAAATTAAAAAAGAAAAGAGTTGGCTTGGGAGCATGAGCTCTGAGCAGCAGGACCACTGGTTCAGATCCCACATGGGCCAGTGATACTGTACCCTCTACAGCTAAGATGGTGAACAACAGCTCGACCTGGAGCTGGGCTGCCGTGAGTTGCCCCCAACAGCGTAGGATGCAGTGGGGCTGCAGTGGGCTGCCGTAAACTACCATGAGTGGCTGGCAGCCAGCGTGAGCAGCCATGAGCCGCTGTGAGCAGCCATCCAAAGACTTGCGACCGATCTGCCTCAGCCGGGAAGAACTCAATGATCACAATACCAACATGGGCAGTGAAGTGGCATCCTCCACAACTAGACTGAAGAACAAAAGGACAACAGCTTGGCTGTTCCCCTTCCCCGATTCCCCAACGCTGTTCCCTCCTCCAATTCCCCAATAAAATCTTAGGAGGAGAAAAAAAAATGTAAACTAACCCTTTTTGACTTCCATAATTTCTATAAAGGAAAATTGCCAAGCTGGAAAAGATAAACACTATAAAGCGGGAACTCTTGTCGAATACATTTGAGGACAGAACAAAAATCAGAAAGTCTACTGAATTAGGAAACAGGAAACTTCTGACTTAGCTATTCCCAAATAGTATAAGGAGCTTTTGTCAAATAAGGGTTTGAACTAAGTGATCTCTCAGGTCCCTTTTAGATCGAAAAATCTGAGGCTCTAAGACTTTGAAATAGGAAGGTATTCCACTCTCCTACTCACTTTAGATAAATTCAGGCCTCTAAGCCCAGATGAATTATATGCTAATATACAGATTACATTTATACACACAATCTTGGCAAGATGAATCACTGACACTTCAAAAACCAGGGAAAAAGGGGAAAAAGTACAGAAAAATGAAGGTGAGATAATGTTATCTCAATTTTTTTAAAAAGGACAGGTTCTGGAATTTTTCTAAAGAAATTTGCCATCTATTCCTAGTAGCCCTTTAGAAATCATTATTAAACATATGGTTAATTAACATTTATAAAAATACAGTGACCACTGAGAATAATTTATGCAAACAAAATCAAATTTTGATGTTATTAGTTTAATAAATTCAAGAGAATTCAAAATACATATTATCTTTTCATTTTAACCAAAAATTTGGCAAAGTCTTGTAAAATGACAGGTATATTCCTATTAAGTGGATTTGTATTAGGTTTAATAGGCATATCCAAAAAGCATTGATTAATGGCTCTGAGTTAAGGGAAGGAACACATTTAAGTAAGTCTAAAGCAGGTGACTCAGAGGGAAAGGACCTTGAAACGTCATGGTATGAAAACCAGTGAAACAAACTTGAAAGGTACTGTCTTCAAATATGAAAACAACTACAACATAGGTAAACCAAGGAACATCACTCTTCTTTATATCTAGAAGACAAAACTACCGTATTTGCCGGCGTATAAGACGACTGGGCGTATAAGACGACCCCCTAACATTTCCACTCAAAATACAGAGTTTGTTATATGGTCGGGCATCGGGAGGCCACTATGGCACGGGGCAAGCACTATGGGCAGTCTATCTGAAGTGTACCTGGCGTATAAGACGACCCCCCACTTGTAAGCATATTTTTCAGGGCCAAAAAATCGTCTTATACGCCGGCAAATACGGTAAATCAATGAGAGAAATGTACAGATTTTTCACCATAAGGAAGAACCTTTTTTATATAGAGCTGATCAACAATGGAATGAACCCTCACAAAGGAATCCGGTTTCCTTTACCAGAGATATTCCAGTTGAGGCTCGATATGCATTCAACAAGAATGCAGCAGAAAGCATTCCTATCTTGACAGGGAATTGGACAAGATGACCCCCAAGGTTCCTCCCAAATCTTAATATACAATTACATGATTTTGTGATTCTTTAAAAGCTCTTCTTAAAGATTAAGTACAATTCAAAATAAAAACTTTTTAGTTTCTCATTTTCATAGTGCTAACATTTCAAGATATTTTCTTGATATCACCAAAATCTCTGTAGTTCTTAAGCTAGCAACACTCTCATTACTAATTATGCTCCCTGGTACCAAAATATTTGTTTCTCACTGGCTCAATATCACCAATAACTTGGTCTAACTTCGCCACTAGCTGTTTCTTTTAAAAAAGAAGGGGGAAAAAAAAAAAGAATTTCCTCCTTTGTGGAAAGGGAAACCATTCTCTTTCCCTTTTTAAAGGGATTTTTTTTTTTTAATTTTCAGGTGTACAAAGCAATGTAACAGTTAGACATTTACACCCCTCACAAAGTGATAACCCCCCCGAATCTAGTACCCCTCTGACATCATACATAGCTGTTACAGTACCATTGACTATATTCCCCATGCTGTACTCCACATCCTGTGGCAATATATTATTTATATATATAAAATTATAGTTGACATTCAATATTATTCTACTTCAGCTTCAGGTATATAGTGCAGTGGTCAGGCATCTACAGTCTATGAAGTGATTCCCCTGATAAATCCAGTACCCTACATAATCTTTACAACATTATTGATTATATTCCCTATTCTGTATTTCATATCCCCATGACTATGTTGTGTCTACTAATTTGCAGTTTCTAATCCCTTCACCTTCTTCCCCATCCCCTTTTTTAGAGCAATTCCAGAGGCACTTGATGTTTGTAAATCCTTTCTTTAACCCTTGGGTATGTATGCAAATCTTTGTAAAGGCTAAGCAAACCTCCAGCCAGCTTTTCAACCAGAAATGTTTAAGGGTCTAGGAGCAGTCTCTTTGAAATTTAAACGTCATGGAAGATGTTTAAGATAGGAGTATCCCTATCTCCCAGTCCCCAGGGGAGTTTAGCTTAGGTACCTACCTTTCTCTGAGCTGTCACTATCTGCTAGTCATAGAGATAAGTTCTATTATTTCACTGGATGAAAGCAACTAGCTAACAGAAATGGCTACCTCAATAACCAAGTGAATTTGGGATGAACTATCAAAGAATGTACAGCAAATGATGCTGTCTTCATATGAGGACAAGTTGCTGTTAATCTTGAGAATATGTATATAAAGGACTGGAAGTGTTTGGGGTAATGAATAGGGTAGAATTTCTTTCTGTCTTTGTATTAATCTTAGGATTGCCTACAATGCACACTCTGTAATCTGGTTTAATGCTTATTCCATAATAAAACTGTTTTCTTTCTTTTCTACATTTTGTAAAGAGGATTCTCTCGATTGGGAGAATATATTTTAATTTTCCCAGGACTGAGTTTCCATCAGTCTGTACTGCCAGTCTCTTTCCCTTTATCACATATCCTTTCCTTTCCAAAGGCAACACCCATAACATACTAGAACTCACACTGAGTTTCTCAAAGAAGAAATCTATCAATATATGACCTGCAAACTAACAGGGAAAATATACATGTTTCAAATGCAAAATTTTTTATTTACCATTCCTATAGGAAAAGATAGATGACTTTCGCTGCAAGTTCCGAGAAGGCTTCTCTGGTTCATAGTCACCATGTGTGATGAACATTTTACGTAATTCTGGATTGATTCCATCGGGAACCATTCGTGGACTTCCTTGGTAAAAATGAAGGACCTGCCTGTTACCTGAAATGGCTTTATAAATACTTTTTTTGTTGGATTGACTTTGATTATAAGTCTGCAAAAACAAATAAATGTCAAAATATATTATTTCTATAATAATCACTTAGCCATAACAAGCAATTATTATATTAGTTGGGATTTATTTAAACTCAGACCCACTTAAATACTTAAAGAATTGAATATCTGTTGTCTTGAATTTGAAGCCTGTTCAATTAACTCTTATGGAAAATCATTTCAAAACCTATTATTATAAAAGCCTACCTTAGTAACTACATTGTATAAAGAAAATATTTTATTTTTTTGTTTTTATTATCTTGCTGTTTTTGAATAAGGCTGATACTTATATATGAAGGTAAGCTGCTTTTTTTAATACTAGTCCTTTATTTCAGCTTCTTGCTTCATCTCACTACACTTCAGTTTTCTTTACTGTATACAAGAAAAGCATTACTGTCTTACAAGAAAAGCATTACTGAAGCACTAAGAGCACTGCCAAGCACTGCCCAGCACAGAGTTAAATGTGGGCCATTATGACCATTTTACAGATAAGAAAACTAACACCTGAATACAGAGTTGAAGTGATTAGGTAAAATCCAATCCCACTCATTGATAATACATAGAGTTTTACAAGATTCCAGGAATGTCATTTATTGGGATCATTTTATAGATAACTGGATGTTATAAAAGAATATACTAAATTCACATGAAAAATATTAGGGGGAATTCATTATTCAGGATGATTTTTAAAGGGTGTATAAACATTTGAAATTAATTTTTAAAAACTATCAGAATAAATGAAAAGGTTTTAATGTGAAACTATATATTTGGCCACAGAAATAGTTCCATTGAGTTACAAAAGTTAGTCAATACTTCAGTGTAACAAACAGAAAATAATATTATGTACGGCATTGTATTTAGGAAGGACTGTCACCCAAGACTGTAGCAAAGTACGAAGATAACTCAAATCCCTTATCACTTAGAACAGGCACCAGCAAAGTTTTCCATAAAGGGCGAGAAAATAAATATTTTAGGCTTTGCAGGCCACATCCTCCTATCTCTGGTGCATATTCATGTTGGTTGGTTGGTTGACTGATCAATTTAAGCAACCTTTCAAAATGTAAAACCATTCTCAACTCACTGTAGTTACTAAACTAAACACAAAAAAATAGGCCTTCGAAACACAGGGAAACAGTAAAACAAAGTAACACATATTGATTTTTGTATCTAGGTGTGTCTAACTTAACACTAAAGCACAAAAATGTGTTTTTATATGGATAAAAATTAGATAAGTGAATCCAGTCAAAAATTCTCATTAAAAAATAATAGTCAGAATCTAATACAAAGAGAAAAAATATCAACCAATTACCTACAGATTGTTTGGACTTCGACTATTAACAGATTGATACTTGTCTTTGGTCTGTATTTCTCAAAATGTCAATGATCAAGTCATGTTTCTAAGTTTACTCACACGTTCTTCTCTTCCTTCAGCAAGGATCACAACAATTCTGCCTTGACGTTTGCGGCCAGTTCTACCCATTCGTTGTATAAGACGAATTGGGCTCTTCTGGGCATCAAAACATATTATAAGATCAACTTCTCCTATATCCAAACCTTCTTCACCAACACAAGTAGAAACCAATGTATTGTAACCACCACTACGAAATTGTTTCACTACCTGAAATAAAAATGATTGAAAAATTAACTAGATGTAAATGCAAGAGAATTGTAGGTCAAAGCAATCCTTTCCCACTAGCCTCAAAATGGTGAAATCAAATTAAAAACAGGCATGGAATAGGAAGAGAAGTGTCAAAATGGCAATTTAAACCCAAAGAAATTGTGGTAAAATGCAAAGGGAAGTCCTAATTCTTTTGCTTTAATAATGGTTGTAATTTCAAAAGGGTTTGCTAACAACTTACACATGAATGAGAAACCTCAGGTATTATTTTTAGCATCACTAAAAGGAGCATATAGGGCAGGTAAACAGCCCAGAGCAATTATTGTTATTCATCACATTCTAGACCTAAATTTATTGTTAGGTGTATCTAAAGTAAAAATGTTTTATTGCTCCTAGAATTTGTGGATGAAAACGAGGCACTATAAGAAATCTAACCAAAAGTGACCTCACAGTGATCTGTCATAAATTCCTAACTGGACTGGTCATAGTGGGTAGTCACACCTCAGGCCTTAGTAGCAGCTTTATCTTTGCCTTAAGCAAGCCCTATCCATTTGTTTTCGTACCCCTTTGAAATGCCTTTTTCATGCCCTTAAGAGAGCATATAATCTTAACTATCCTGTAATCTAATCCCCTAACCTGCTTTCTCCCATCTTCTTGTAATCTTCATAACTGTTCCCTCCTTAATTCCAAGTGTAGAAAAGGAATTGCAAAACTCATTCTCCCTAGTATTTAAGATCTTGCTTCCCAGCAGTCCTCAGTTTGGCTCAAATAAACTCCTAAAAAGTCTCTAGAGGTTTGGATGTCCTATGTCAACAACATGTCCTCATATCTTACCTTTTATATTGTCATTCCAGTGAGGGGTAGCAGAATATGCCACCCAAAAATATGACTATACGAGTGGTTGATGTAGAAAACACCCAAACCCTTAGAGAATTTTTATAAATTTGAGCCAAACTGACAACATATGCCAGGCAGCAACGTCTCCCTTGCTCCTCTCTCACTATTTCTCTGACTATAACCTCCAATACTGGTTACCTTCCACTTTCCACCTAGCCTGAGCCTATACCCATGCAGTTGAATGTGGCTGGAGGAAAACATGCTAACTGGTTTCATTTTAGATTCATAACCTCTAACCTTGAAAGGCCCTTGGTGCTATCTGAAAATCATTTCACATTTCCCTAATCCATTCACTTTCCCATTCTCCTGGATAACTCTTCTATTCTCTCCTCTCTCATCAAACTTCCAACATTTCCTCCCTATCCTCACTCTCAGCTGGTGACATGACAAAAACTGAGCAATCAAAAAAGACCTTCCACAAGGTATCACTGCCACTTCTACTCACCCACCTGTACCTGTGCCTATATAGTCTACCTTCCCCCCTATCGGTTTGGATAAACTATCCGTGTTCTTAACTGAGGTCAATCCCTATACTTTTGTACTGATCCCATCCTTTTCCCTCATCTACTCAAAGACCATTCCAGCAATACTCTTCTCTCTGCTCTATCATCAATTTTTACTTCTCTACTGATCATTCTTATCAGCATACAAACATACTGTTATATAGCCAAACATAAACACTTCCATCTTTGCTCTCCTTTAAAGCAAAAATCCTTAAGACTTCTATACTTGCTACCTCCTGCTCTTCTGAGTGGTGACTTATCTCCACCATTCCACTGAAACTTCTTTTCAAATTTATTTGCCTCCCCATCTCTTAATCCAAGGGTCAATTCCCAGTTATCATCTTATATGAGCTACTAGCAGCATTTCTACATTTAATTACTCTTCCCCCTCATTTGGCCCCAGGATACCAGGCTCTCCTGGTCTTTCTCCCATTTCACTCCCCACTTACTCTGATTCCCTAAGGAATCATAATCATTGTTATCTCTCACAACAATGAAGTACCCGCAGGCTCAGTCTTTGGACAGCTACTCTATCTCCATTCAATCACTTGGTAATTTCATCCAGTCTCATCAATATAATGATAATTCCCAAACATATATTTCCATAAATCCTTGAACCTATAAGACAAAACTTACAGAGGGTGCCAAAAATATGTATACACATTTTAAGAAAGGAAAAAACTGTATTAAAATTGTAATACTCAATATATACCAATAACAAAAGATGAATACAAGTCACTTTTGACTTCTGCAATTACAAGAGGTGCTCAAAGTGGTTACCATCAGCGTCTAGACACTTCTGATTACAGCACAGTACTGCTTGAGCAACGCTGACTAAAGTGTCGACATGGGTACATTTTTTTTGGCACCCCCGGTACATTCAGTATCTCTCCTTGATGTTTAAAACAGTACTACTCAAAATGTTGTCCAAGAACTATTTATTCCTGGTTCTGGTTACTAACTGTTACTACTGGACAAGTACAAAAATTAAAGGGGTTTAGATGCTTGGTGGAGTAATTCTGTTTGTTGACTCTAATAATAAAAAATATGACCATGAAGTTTGTTTTCCAGTAATTTTACTTTTCTAGTAATTGTAATTGTAATATTTATTTATGTAATATGTAATATAATATGTAACATGTTTATTGTAATATTTAAAAGTATCCGTGAAGGGATACCTTTAGAGCATCCTCCTTTGCCTGGCCCACTCCAAACTCTTTGGAGTATTCTCTTCTAATAATGGCCCTTGAGCCATTCTCTACTGCTCAGCCCACTTCTGTCTCTTTGAAATGTATTTTTTCTTTTAATAAACTTCTTTTCTGCAACTTAAAAAAAAAAAAGTATCCATGATATATTGGCAGGAAATAAACTGGTCTTTCAATTTTATTAATTTTATTTTGATAGTTTGAAAACCACTAATCTCATAGTCAGGCCAGCTGGCTTGTCCAAAACTAAGCTCCTGATACTCTCCAAAACCTGCGATGCCTAGTCTGACCTACTTTACTTAATAGCAGCTCTTTTTAGTTGCTCAAGCCAAAAACCTTGGAGTCAGTCAGCCTTCACACTCCTTTATCTTACATCCCATTTTAATTTGTCAATAAACCCTGTCAGCTCAACCTTCAAAATATATACGGAATTCAATAATTTTTCCAAACCTTCCCTGCTAGCACCGTAGTACAACCCATCATCATCTTTAGCTTAAATTATAATGTTTTCTAATTTGTCCTCCTGTTTCCACCCTGAGCCCCCCATAGTTTCTGGGTTTTTTGTTTGTTTGTTTTTTAGCTGAGCCATCCTGCCACCTGTTGGCAGCTCAGCAGCAGCTCAGCTTGGGCCGGGCATCAAACCGCTGTTGCTCAGAGCTTGCACTCTTGAGCAAGCTCTTAACCAACTGAGCCACTCAGCCGGCCCTATAGTTCATTCTTAAGTCAGCAACCACTGTGATTCTTTTAAAATATAAATCCGGCCACAACCCTCCTACGCTCCAAACTCTCCAAGCGTTTCTTCCCATCTCACTCAGAGTAAAAGCCAGTGTTGTTAAGATGGAAACTACCTAAAAGGCCCTAAAAAAAACAGGCACTCCACTTCCTCTCTGACTTCATTGCCATTTCTAAATAAATGGATAATTTAATTTCAACTACTTGCACTAAAGCTTATTTCAAAATAAAAGTGCAGTTATGAAAGCAATTATATAAAGCAGTAATAAAAAGGGCTGTTATTCTGGCATACATAAAAGTATTATTGACATACATGAGTAAAAGACAAAGTCAATAGAGTCAATAAGGTTTTCTATGGTACTGGACAAACTCAAGAAATAACTACATTGGGTAATAATGAAATTGGCCAAAGACCAGGTTGGATACTATGGGTATTTATTTCAAAATCCTCGACCCCCTAGCCAAAAATCCACTGTATTTTTCACTTATACATAAATGTTAAAATTAGTAGTAATCACCCACTAGGATGTCTGAACCCTTTAAAGTACTTATAATCAGACTTGACAGCTTAAACAGGCTCTTCTGAATGCAGAGAGGACTGGTATAAAAGGTAATTAAAGAAGAAGATTCGGGGGCCGGCCGAGTGGTGCATTGGTTAAGAACTGGCTTGGGACGCCAGAGGGCCCCGGTTCAGATCACACATGAGGGCCAGTGACACTGCCCTCTACAGCTAAGATGCTGAACAACAGCCCAACCTGGAGCTGGGCTGCCATGAGTCGCCGGAGACAGCGTAGGCTGCAGCCCCTGTGGCAGTGGGTTGCTATGGGCTACCGTGTGTAGCCAGCAGCCAGCGTGAGCGGCCATCCAGAAGCCAGCGACTGATCTGCCTTGCCCCAGGAAAAGCGCAATGATGTTGCCAACTTAGGCCAGTGAAGCAACGTCCTCCACAACTAGACTGAAGAACAAAAGGACAGCAACTTGTCTGTTCCCCTTCCCCCAATTCTCCAGCGCTGTTCCCATCCCCAATTCCCCAATTAAAAACAAACAAACAAAAAAAGGATTCCTCATCTACTAATGTTAACAGAACCAAGAAAGGATCAATCAAAATGAATTAGACATTAAAGACACACCTAATTGGGCCGGCCGAGAGGCTCAGTTGGTTAAGAGCGTGCGCACTAAGCAACAGGGTCACCGGTTTGATTCCCACACGGGCCAGTGAGCTGCGCCCAAGCTGAGCTGCCGCTGAGCTGCCCACAGGTGGCAGGACGGCTCAGCTAGTGAGAGCACGAGCTCCTAACAACAAGGTTGCTGGTTGGACTCCCGCTTGGGATGATGGGCTATGCCCACCCGCAACTAAGATTGAACACGGCACGTTAAGCTGAGCAGCCATGAGCTGCCTACGGGCGGCTGGATGGCAACTGAACTTGGAGCTGAGCTAGCTGCGCCCTCCACAACTAAGATAGAAGGACAACTTGGCTGTTTCCCTTCCCCAATTCCCCAATAAAATCTTGAAAGAAAAAAAAAAGACACAGCTAATTAACAGTGACTACCCAAGTGTAAACCTATAGCTAATTGGCAAAGACCTGTTTATAAAAATCAACACTAAAATTTCCCCATCCGGACTAAGTTCCTCTCCAGGTATAGAAAAAAATTGGATAAAAGGAGTAGTTCCTCACCTTACATGGCCACCCCAGTCAGGACCCCCTCTCGTTTTGAGAGCTGCTACTTTCTGCCCTAATAAACTATCCTCTGCTGTAAACTTTAAAAAAAAAAATTGCCCCCAAAAACATATCACAGTACTTAGAAAGCTTAAGACCTCTTAGAGCATACGGCTTCCTTACACAGCACCAGGGTTTCCTCTGACCATTTTTTTAAATTAAGATTTTTAAATAACAGAAAACAGAGATAATTGTTTGGAATTAATAACTACGTGACTTAAAATGAGTAAATAGTAAACATTTATTGAAGGCTCTAGAGTGCAATTTCATTTAATGCTAACAACAACTCTATAAAATATGTTTACAGATATGGAAAACTGTGGCACAGGAAGTAAAGAAACCTGTAAATGGAATAGCGAGAATTCCAACCCAGGTAGTATAATTCCACAACCTTTCTGTTTAACAATTACACTTTACGTTATTAAAAATAATAATAATAATAATAATGGCCTATGTTTACTTACGTTTTACTGTAAAATTGTTTAAGTAGTCAACTGACCAGTGAGTTAAAACAAAAACACCTAAGTGCAAAGCTAATTAATTTTATTTTCATTTTCATCATCTCGACAAATAATTACCTCCAGTTGCTCCTTCTGGGTAAAACCCTTCATGCTTTTCCCAGAGGCATGGCCGACGAAAGTCATTGCTCTAATAATTGGCTGGTGCTGTAATAGCATGTCTGCGATTTCTTGAACACTATCTCGAAATGAAGAGAAGATCATAACTCTGGTCTTGTCACATTTCTTTTCAGATGTGTTTTGAGCTATATAACAAAAAATATTTAATTACAACTTTTTAAAAAGCATATAGACAAGCATTAGTTCAAAAGAAAGCCTGAAGCTATATACTAATTCATAATTCTTTCAAAAAAATAATTTAAGACATCTTAAACCTTTGCTGGTTTTCCAAACTTTTCTAGTAATTTTAATAACCTTGGCTCCTTATCTCTCATTAGCTTTCATAAAATAAAATTCTAAGCAAATCAAATAAACAATGACCTGAGTCACTTTTGACCAGTCCTTCATTTCATGTATGATGCCTGTTATTCCCTTTTACCTTCTAAGTCAGTAGTACAGAAATACAGAGCTCCCACTGACTTCATAAACCTCTCCTTTCCTTTCTGTTCACTAAAGGCGCTGTCTTAATCCAGGCCATGACTTTGTGTTCCCAGATCTACGACACGTTCAAATTCTCCAACGATAACTGCAGAATATGCCCTATAGTCAGTCACAGCTCCTCCCAAGGTCTCTGTGCTTGGGAGGCAGCAGGTGCATGAATAAGAACATGACCTTGAAGGCCGGGTCACTTACTCCGTGGGTGATATGTAGCCATGGTAGTTATTTTATCTAAGCTTTAGTTTCTTCATATCTAAAATAGATTGAAGTGATGATTAAATGAACTAGTAAACAGTATAAAGCATGTAGACTCACACATAACAATTGGCTAATAATTGCAAGTTGTGTGGGGCTTACTGTTGTTATCACTTTTCTTTTGTTTTTAAGCTTGCTTGGACCGTTGACAATGCTTCTTTCTTCCATATATTTTATTTATATATATATATACACACACACGCACATTATATATATATTATATATATATATAT